CGAATCCATTCGTTGTTTTCTGCGAAGAAATAGATTCGTACATTTTATAAAGCTTAGCGGCACCAGTGATAAACGTGACTGCCTCTCACTCCAATGGACCTGGATTCAATTCTAGTCGGTGCCGTCGGGATTTTCGGAGGCAAAAAATTTATGATCACCCCTTCCTTCGGGAGGGAAGTAAAGCCTTTGGTGCCCGATCCATGAGTTTGATGGGTCGGTAGGGTCCAGTTGTGGGAGCTGCCTCCCTGGCGCTGGTAGCATTGCAATGCATTGGTACTCAGAACGAAAAACAAGATCGACGGAAAACAAATCAAGGATTTTATGAAGCTTGTTTCGTAGAAGTTGTCTACTGCCTTGTGATTTTCGTACGTATTGATAACGAATGTTTCATAAAATAAGCACGAATCATTCGTGTAAATTGAAAATAGTATGAAACATTCGCATGCCCATAAGACAACTTGCATACATTGTACGAAAAACAATACGAAGAGATACGAAAATTTAGTTGAAAGATACAATCGCCTTTCTGGCTATCCTTGTATGCACGAAAACATTTCGTACAGTCGCGCTTTCATGAAATCAATTCGTGCAATTTATAGCTTTTTATATAATGCAAAATTAAAACAAGATTGTGTGATGGATGTTTAGGAAACCGTGGAAAGGACGTATTCCAAGAAAAGATGGAGATTATGTAGATGAAAAAAAAAATTGTATTGCTTAGTATTAGAAAAAAATCCAAACAGCTGTGCAATTTAACTCGATTTATCAGAGAGAATTACAATTTTCTCCAAGGAAGCAGAATCTTACCCGCTTGTTATACAATATACCAGCCATTTTTTCTTCTTTTATATGAACCAGAAGTTAAGGCCAACATGGCATTTATTTTGCTATCAATAACTATATTTTTAAAACAAATGATAGCCACATTGAAAACGCAGAAACAATTTCCTCGACATGAAGAGTTGGTGAGCAATTTAAAAAAATAGTCCTCTTTAAAATAAAACAATAAATATTTCCAACTTGCTGGAGAGTTCAGCAGTTTCAATGTCCAACTTTTGTTTTATCTAGTTCGTTTATTTAGAAGGCTCAATCATGTTAGCTTTACGGAGTCAATAATTTATTGTTCATTGTTTGTAACAGAATTCACTTAATTCTATGTCTAGTAGGAGTTGGGCCGAATACTCGCGGCTTACCTGAGGTTAGAGGGGTACATTGTCAAATAATAGGATCAGGGAAGGAGCTTGGGAGCTGGGGTTGCGTTTTCACATCACAGCGTTGTCACCAGTATGAACGGTAGTGCGATTCTACCGGCTATGCTGACCAGTGTGTGACGATGAGACTCATCGAGACGGAGGGACAAGATAAACAAAAACCAAACCGTTCAAGATTTTCAGTGTCCCAATTGGTTTGCCAACTCGTGGTGTACTCCGACGCAATAAATGGTAAAATTCATCGTGTGAAATTTGCGAAAACCGATATTGATTGAATCACTTTTCACCGATTTCTCCAGCGGTTCGTATTGTTAACCAGTTTTCACTCTTGTATGGCATTCATTTCATGTAGAGTAGAGCGCTACTTCGTCGTAATCGCTCATTTCCGTTCTATCGATCAGAAAAGATTAATAATATCAATGAAGTCACAGTGCACTAATCAATAATAGGTTTTTTCCGATGCTTTAGTTCATTAGCTACAACATAAATCTTATAAGAGCGCATTGAATGAATATTTTCGCTAATTGCTCTCAAAACAAAAGAAGCGCTCCTAGCGAATCCCTTTTTTCTACGTTTATCCGTAGGACGAAGAAAATCTAATGGCGTTTCAATGCATTAGGACGGAATTGAAACTCGTATGACGAATTTAGAGTCAAGTAGCAGTATTGTATTTTGAACAATATCTCAACAATTTGTGACTTTTTATCAAATCTAACGGTACGTTTGGAAAAGTGAATAAATTTAAAAGTCATCCTTGATAGAAATATTAAATTTTTTGTTCAAACCCGTTCAAAAAAGAGAGATAAACCGCAGGTTGTGTAGGACGGAAATTAGATCAAAAACCCTATTGTATGAAATATGCGTAATGTTGGCAGTGTACGAAACGAATATAACGAAATGAGCGTAAGAGAATTAACAAAAAACATATTTTCAGTGAACCGGAAAGCTGAAACCAACGCTTGGTTGCTGTACATAGCAGAGTGATCCAGAAAGACAATTTAGCGGAACATAATTAAATACTCCAATACTAGTCGTTTTATTGACTTGGTGTCTTGTGCAATATTACTTTGAATAAAAAGTTTCCTTATTTGTTCAAAAAATATTTGTACTAAAAATGTACTAAAAATATATTCAAAAAATTTCTTTTAATTATTGATTCTGGAGGGTTGATGTCTTTAAGAGAGACACCTGTTGGGGGTTTTTTTAAAAAATCGTTTTTTTTTTAATATATTTTCGGCATCCTTTTAGAATTTTGTGTATGGAATTGATGAAGATTGAATGTATGCACTTAAATGAAACTCAAATTTATTAACGCGTTTTTCTAGAAACCATTTTTTTTTACTTTGCAAGACAAGGATGATGTAAAAATGAATTATCTAAAATCTTACATCGAATTTTTCGGATGTTCCAACCTTCCTAACTAATAAAAACCAAAGATTTAAGTAAACTGAAGGTCCCGATTCAACAAATTGTAGTTTCATTTTTATACCTGTGATCTTGACTTTTATACCTAGGGAATGAGTACTTAAGGGGGTTAGATTTTGATAAGTTCTTTAGTGGGAATGACATTGATGAAGACTGCACATTGTAGTCGAAATACGTATCTGTCATGGATACCAAAATTATTTAATTGGAATTAAATGGAAGATAACCTTTTTTTTGCTGTTTTACTGTTCCAGTTGTTGTGGTAGTTGCTAACTTTGGTTCCTATAATAGTGGAACCCATAAGAAACCAACGCATTGCACAGTCAAAGAAAATACGTATATTTGTATGTTTATAATTACGACGTAAGCAAACCGTGGCACATTCAATAATTTCCTGTATTGATATGTTGACTCCAGGACCCGTTACCCCAGCGCCAACTCTGCTGTTTGATTTGGAACCATCAGTGTAGAAAATTACTGATACTGGTTGAATATTAGGTCCCCCTGATTCACATTCGGTGCGACTAGGTTCAGTGACATTGAATAGTCTTTCAAAGTTATACTGTCTATTCATCCATTCTTCATGAGTTAATAACGAATTAATTTTAAATTCCTTCAAAATACTGACCCCATGGGGGCCTCATTAAAAAACTGTTTTGTTCACTTTAGTTTTAATACGTTTTCCCCGGCTTCTAATTGCACAAATTAATGTAGGAGATGAAGATTTCACATTGCATCTAGTGCTTTAGAGGGCGTGCTACGAATTGCTCCTTTAATGGAAATTGTAGCAAGTCTTTGTAACTTTTCGAGTTGTTTTTGAGCATATTTAACTTTTGTTTTTGGCCACCAAACAAATGATGCATATGTTATTCTTGGTCTTACTATAGCCATATAGATCCAATAGATCATTTTCGGTTTCAGTCCCCATTTATTACCAAACGTTTTTATGTTTATCCATAGGGCATTTGTAGCCTTACTTATTATTTGATCCAAATGCAAGTTCCAATTGAGTTTGCTATCAAGAATCACTCCCAGATACTTAACATTTGGAGAAAGGACTAATTTAGATTCATCCAAGTGCAAATCTGGTATTTTCCTCACCTCATCTTTATACCACACCATCGTTAAATTAAGAGCATATTGTAACCTATCTCTGATTACGTGTTCATATTTAATCTATGTCATCGACAAAACCAATTATTTCAAATCCTTGCGCTTCAAGATGTAATAGTAGTTCGTCGACTACCAGTGACCACAACAATGGTGAAATGTTATGTTATTTCTCGTTTTTGCAACATTTCAAAAATCCAATCTATAGTAGTTTTATCAAAATGACGTTTTATCATAACGTCATCGCTTTTTTAAAATTTTGGTCACAAGTCTATGAAATGCTTACAGGAAGTTTTTTGTAATCTTCGCAGAACGGATTTCGTCATTTCCTGGTGATTTAAATGGTTCAAACGAATTTACAGCCCATTCAACTCTTGCTTGAGTAAAAATACGACTTGCTAGATCTTGCGTATCCTTCTTGGTCATTTTTTGTCCTATTATTCCTGCAATATCATGAGGTTCCTTGGAAACATCTGTGCTGGTCTTCTCTGATCCAGTCAATGAATATATGGAAGTCGTATCTTCATTCAAGACTGGAAAGATCCTGGAAAGTGTACGTGCATCATCAAATTCAAAGTTTCTGATGCATTAGAAGTAAAAATTCCGTTATACTTTTTAAGAGTACCTAGACCATTAGAATGACCGTTTTCGTAGCGTTCATTTAAATAACACTATTCATCTGATGTCAGTCGTCCCGCAGAATATTATTTATTTGTTCGCGTAATTTGGCGATTAATGTACTTCACTATTTCCCATATCAGAAAAAAACATGAACGCAATATCTTAGTTAAAGCGTTCAAATCGAAGCAAAGGATGGATTTAAATGGCTTCAAGTGAGTTTAAAACTGATAAATTTTAGGCAGCATAATTACTAAAATCCAGAGCATTGCATAATGTCTTACAACATTCTCAATAAATTCAAGGGTGGTGTGGTTGAATAAATTGAACCACCACAATCATGACCTTGGAAAATAAACTCTTCATTTCGAAATTTCTTTAACAGAGCAGACAGTAACCAAGCGTTACCCATCAGTGACTTTCGGTTTGCGTAGGTCCGCACCGGCACCAACCAACGGCAGTGGGTGAGATAATCAGTGACTTCATTACGCGCAACAGTAGATAAAATGATCAAAAAGTTCAATGATTCAGCAGAGGATGGAAAGAAAATTTTGGGTATAAAACCTCAAAGTTATCAAAGTTCAATCATCATTCAGTTGTGATCGGTTGTTCATCTCTCATCTTAAAAAGTCAATCATGAAGGTATGATTGGGTAAGCCTGTGGCATCTGAAGGAGTTTAATTGAGTTTGATTCTTTACAGGCGTTTATTGTGTTCTTATTGGCTCTGGCTATCGCCAGCTGTGCAGCAGTTGATGATTCAAAGAAAGACAAACGTGGCCTCTGGGAGGAAGGGCTGGAGCATGGAAACCACTTCGATGATGACGCAGAGCACGACAATTATGAGCAGGAAGATCATCATCAACATCAGCACTTGGATTTAGACCATCATCAACATCAGCACTTGGATCTGGATCATCATTGGGAATCGGAAAATGATGTGAAGCATGTTATCACCAAGCAAGTTCCAGTTCCTTATCCAGTGGAAGTAGAGAAGCACGTCCCGGTGCATGTGAACGTCCCATATCCAGTGCACACCGAGAAAAAGGTACCGGTGGTAGTTGAAAAGCATGTTCCAGTGTACGTCGAGAAGAAGGTGCCCGTCCACGTGGACCGTCCAGTTCCATACCCAGTGAAGGTTGAGGTCCCAGTCTACCAAAAGGAGTACATTGAGGTCCCAAAACCGTACGCAGTTCATGTCGACAAGCCTTATCCAGTTTACGTGAAACAGCCCGTTTACATCGAGAAGCCTGTGCCAGTCACTGTGTATATTAAGAAACACGAGAAGAAATCGTTCTGGGGTTGAGGAGATACATGATAGGCGGTAGACAAAGGATTTAGTGTAGGCTTTAGTTCAATGTTGAAAATAAATAAGCTTCAATTATCAATCTTAATCGTATTTTTGGGAAACGAATGCTGAAAGATGATTCGAAGGGGTATAACACATTCTTAAAAAAATGTTGATGACATATAAGAATAATAAGAGCAAAAGATTTCATCTAAGATTAACCATCATTAAGAATCATAAAGGTCTAACTGCGATGATCATTTTTTTTTCATCAATTAACCTACAGGTAACGAAGAAAAACTACGGAACCCATCGATTGACCGTCAAAGGAATGGCAATGGAACCGTTTTAATTTTTCTCTGTTCTCCAAAATATGTGCCAAACTTTCTTTAATTCTTCTTATTATTATTTTTTTTAATTATTATTGTTTTCTTATTATTATTTTTCTTATTTTTAATTCGTTTATTGAGCGTCAGTCTCTGTTCCGCAATCGATGTGCGTCGATTACCAATTTGCTTGGATAATTGATGGTTAATCCCCGACGACAATCGAAAGCCAGGGAGGTGACTTCACACATGTAAGAAATGTTATCGCCTCAGAAAAATTCCAACAACCTCGGATGGAATAAAACCCACAAACACACCGCACTTACTACTCATCCACCGGTACCGTCAATTCTAGTGATCAAGCAACAGACATTTTGAAATGAAGATTTTTGATTTTTTTTTTCGATTACGGTTTATTTCAATTTTGTTGTTTTTATGTGTTTATATTTTAGCATATCATGCACACTAAGATTATTTCACAGATTTCTGTGAAATTTTACCGAAATCTCAACAGCTGAACGTTCGGTGATTTTTCACAGTTTTCCTGTAATTTTTCCTTGAATTTCTGTAAAAAATTACAGGAATACTGCGAAAATTCACCGAACTTTTTACCGAATGTTCAACTGTTGAGATTTCGGTAAATTTTCACAAAAATCCGTGAAATAAGCTTAGTATTCAGAAACAGTAAGTCGATTCTATATTTTCTAATCGATATCACGAAATTGGTGCTTGGGTTGAAGTAGCTCTCTATCCTAATGAAAATAGTTTCAAAATATATGAAAGTTTAGCAACACGTTCCAAAGACCACGAAATCTACTAAGGCAGTCATAAGTGTTTAGCTTGGTGCAATTAATTTAGCCCGTTGAGCGTAAGCTCTAACATAAAACTGATTGCACAAGTTTTGACAAACTAATCTCACTCGGTTGCTCCAATCAAGCAACTGCAAATTGCCTTTTGCCACGTTCAATTCATTGCCTATTTTCACACGTTCCAGTTCCTGTCACTTTCAATTCGAGTGGGAATTGAAACTGTACTTTCTGTCTCCCGAATGTGGCATTACCATGTTAACCTGTAAAAGAGTTGTCAGTTTCGAAAACCACTGGTGGCTTTGGCTTGTGATTACGTTTCTACTCCCCTATAGTCTGTAGGTATAGTGAATTTAAATTTTCCACCAGCATAAATATATTCGTTTGGCTCTATGCATCTGGCACAAGAGCCACTAGGCGTCCGGCTGGATGGGGAAAAGAAGGCACGGTCATACCCTGTCTGCCGTAACCCCAACCATGAAGATGCTCCTCACTGCCGTATGAGTTCTTTTATGTATATATGGACAGAGCAAGGCCATACCGTCGTCGTGCGGTGCAGTGTAAGCATATGGAGTCCGATCTGCAAAGAGCAGATAGAAAGAAATAAAAAGAATTCAACCACTCATTTTGCTACACGGCCATAGGGGTCTATTTTATGTATGTATGAAATTTAAATAAGACTGACTTCTGCTGATGTCTGCACTTCCATCGTTTGCTTTGAGTTTTATGAGCATTATGGAAATAGGACAAACGATTTCCTTTTCCTCTCGGCAGACCAAAATTGGCAAATGAAAGGTTATTTAAAACGGTTCAGGATACATAATGCTTTGTATAAGATCTTCAGATGAGTTCCAATTACGGAAAATAGCATCAAACAAATTTATACTTGATCGCACAACATTTTAAAAGTACATCTATTGCTCCATCCTTGTGATATGATGGCATTGATTCATATCATATGACTCAGTCGGTAAAGGTGCAGCTACAAAGTAAGACCATGCTGGAGGTGGCTGGGTTCGATTCCCGGTCCGGTCTAGGAATTTTTCGGGTTGAAAAATTTATCGACTTCCCTTGACATAGAATATATTGTGTTAGCCACTCAATTATACTAATGAAAAAATGGTTCAGGCATCGAAAGCTCTCAATTAGTATCTTTTTTTTTTTTTTGTAATTACTTTATTTGTACAGGCTCAATCGAATAAACTTTACAGAGCCGAGTTATCCTTTGCGTTATACATTATTACTGTCTTATATTTAAAGTTAAAGGAATTGGACCGAGTACTCGCGGTCGTCTCGAGGTTAGTGGAGATTTACAATTTTTTGAATGGGAAAAGGGAAGAAGGAGGTTTGAAATGTGGTTTACGATACAACTATTTACTTAATCCTAAAGCATGAAATTATTTCTATTCATCTTGAAAACAAACATTGAAAAAAAAACACCACACGTACAAAATACAAACTAAACACACGGTTAATCAAACTTACAATCTAAGGTTAATATCCTTAAAGTAAACATATATGAGTTTCATAAACTCCAAATCGCGTCTAGCCAAAATATCCCGAACTGGAACATTAGGTTGTCTACCTCGAGCCCGAAGGGAATCATAAAAATGTGATCTGACTCCACGATACTCCGCACAAGACCAAAGGATGTGATCAGCGTCCTGGTAACCTTGTCGACATTCACAGAGATTGCTGTCTCCCAACCCCACACGGAACAAGTGAGCGTTTAGACAATAGTGATTGGACATGAGACGAGACATCACGCGTATGAAGTCTCGACTCAAGTCCAACCCTTTGAACCATGCAAACTTCGACACCTTAGGGATAATTGAATGTAGCCATCGTCCCAAGCTCCCTTCACTCCATTGATGTTGCCAGCTAACGAGCGACTGCTGACGATAAATAGAGAAAAATTCACTATAGGCGATCTGTCGATCATAAATGTCGCCTTCCATAGCGCCCACCTTCGCAAGTGAATCCGCCTTCTCATTGCCCAAAATTGAGCAATGCGAAGGGACCCACGCGAAGGTGATGATGAAAGAGCGCACGGATAAAGCACTAAGCAGTTCTCGTATTTTCAAGAGAAAATACGAGAAGTGCCTTACCGGCCTAATGGAACGGATAGCCTCGACAGAACTGAGACTATCCGTAAAAATAAAGTAGTGGTCTGGAAGAAGTGAAGCAATAGTTCCCAAAGTGTAGTGAATTGCTGCCAGTTCAGCCACATACACAGAACAAGGAGCTTCAAGTTTTCGAGAGGCGCTATGAAATTCATTAAATACACCAAAACCAGCGGACTCCTCTATTAAAGATCCATCTGTGAAAAACGTTCTTGCAGAATCAATATGGCCAAACTTTGCAGCGTATAATGACGGAGCAATCATAGGACGATGATGCTCTGGAATTCCGCGGATTTCCTGCGTCATAGATAAATCAAAATTCACTGAATTGCCGAAATCGGAGAAGACTACACGATTGGGAATATTTCTTGAAGGGCTGACATCCTGTGTTAAATATAGGTAGTACAAAGTCATAAAACATGTTTGAGGATTCAGCTCCAGAAGCTTCTCAAAATTTTCGATCACCAGTGGGTTCATTACTTCGCAACGGGTGAGGAGCCTCAGAGATAACTCTGAAAAACGGACGGATAGTGGCAACATGCCCGCCAGCACTTCGAGACTCATAGTATGAGTCGAGTGCATGCATCCTAACGCGATACGAAGACAACGATACTGGATCCGTTCCAGCTTGATGATGTGCGTTTTAGCTGCCGACTGGAAACAAAAACTACCATATTCTAGAACCGATAAAATCGTTGTCCGGTACAACGTCAAAAGATCTTGTGGATGGGCTCCCCACCACGTTCCGGTAATTGATCGAAGGAAATTGATCCTTTGTTGGCATTTCCGCTTCAGATACTCAATGTGGGATCTCCATGTGCATTTGGAATCGAACCAGACCCCAAGATATTTGAAGGACATGGAATGAGTGATCGGTTTACCCAAAAGTTGAAGCTTCGGTTGTGCTGGGCTATGCTTCCTAGAAAAAACGACCAACTCAGTTTTCTCCGTGGAGAATTCGATACCTAGCTGAATAGCCCAAGTAGACAAATTGTCCAAGGTATCCTGTAAGGGTCCTTGCAGGTCAACCTCTTTTGGCCCTGTGATAGACACTACGCCGTCATCTGCAAGTTGTCTCAACGTGCAATTGTCACTAAGACAGCCATCAATTTCTCTAACGTAGAAATTGTACAAAAGGGGGCTTAAACATGAGCCTTGGGGGAGACCCATGTAGCTAAATCGAAAAGCTGTAGAGTTTCCATGAGAAAAGCTCATATGTTTTTCTGACAGCAAATTGTACAAAAAATTATTCATTAATGGAGACAATCCACAAGCGTGGAGTTTCTCTGAAAGAACTTCAACGGATACTGAATCAAAAGCCCCCTTGATATCCAAGAACACAGAAGCCATTTGCTCTTTCTTAGCAAAAGCCAACTGAATTTCCGAGGAAAGCAACGCGAGACAGTCGTTCGTTCCCTTACCCCTACGGAAACCAAATTGAGTATCTGAAAGAAGGTGGTTCGTCTCAACCCATTTGTCGAGGCGAAAAAGGATCATTTTCTCCATCAATTTCCGAATACACGACAGCATCGCGATGGGCCGATACGAATTGTGATCCGACGCGGGTTTATCAGGCTTTTTAATGGCTATCACCCTCACTCGTCTCCAATCGTCAGGAACAATATTGAGCTCCAAGAACTGATTGTACAAGTTCAACATGCGCCTCTTAGCGACGTCTGGGAGGTTTTTCAGCAAGTTGAACTTGATTCTATCAGATCCCGGGGCAGAATTGCCACACGAAAGGAGAGCGAGTGAAAGTTCGA